TAGCTTCGGAGAGCGGACGGGTTCCGGCGTATTCCACGTTGAGGTGGCCGCTTCTGTCAGTTGAAGGAATTCGACAGTTTATCAATTCGTCTACTGCATTCTATGTCTTCACTGAAAGCAAGATGTCAGAAGGCTAAAAGGAGTATATTGGAGGCAATCGTTCAAATTAAGGCCCCGGATTTAGCAGACAGAGGTAGACACAACCCTTTTTTCAGGGCTTGGTTCCTTTGATGCTTAAGTGTTATCGCGTTTTTTCCTCGAAATACAATAAGGCGTATCTCTGAAAAGGGTAAAAAATTCAGGATGAGAAAGGTAGAAATGGAAAATTGGCATTTTAACCGACCTTTCATCTAGGCCAAAATGTTGAACCGGCCAGGGGAAATAAGGGTAGGGCGCTGCTTTCTGTCGTAATCAGTCAAATAGCAAAGCTGCTGCGGGAAAATGTCGACAAAGAGCAGGAATTGGTGCGAAATGCGTGGGTAGATTTTTGTGTCTTTAATGCCCTTTCGCTTCACAGCTTTTTGCATAAGATTTGCGACGCATTCGTTTATCCGTCTCGAGCTAACACTACGCATGCTTTGCTTTCGACACGGTAAATGTCATGAGGCTCTTAAATCCCTAAACGACTCTATCTATCTGTCGAGTATAAAAGTCATGTTCCCGAATGGAACATGAAAAGCCAAATATCATTTTTTTCCTCGGAATTTGTCCTCCAGGGAGACCGGGGAACAGCCCGCTTTCTGGCTTTTAAGCCTCTGTGGGGTTTCCCATCACGGTCTGGAAAAAAGTCGAGTGATGTGCAGAATCCCGCGTACAAAAAAAAGAGCAAGTGCCACAGGACAGGAACAATTGCTGCCAAGATTCTTATTCTTCGTTTTCCTCCTGCATTTCTCTAATGGCGGGGGTTTTCGGATCATGTGGGGTATTTTTGTAAACATTGCTTTATAGTAGACGAAAATCCGCCTTTACAAAGAATTCCTAAGAGTGCAGATAAAGTTTGGCAACGCAACGTAAAAGAAGAAGCAAAGCGTAGAACGATAAAACTCTTTTCGTGTCATGGCCGACTGAATCACGTCAGAAGGCTTTTGATTGGTCTAGAATTGATGTGAAATAATGCCTTCTACAAAAGATTCAATGTTGGGTTTCAAAGCCCGAGGAGAGGAGTGTTAGGGAAACCACTACAATCGGAGAGATTGGATTTGAAGTCATTTTGGAAAGCGTTTAAAGATATGCCAGAAGGAACTATGAAATATCTATTATGATACCAAAGAAACATGCATCCTTTTTGGCGTTGTCTGGCTCTCGATATGGAATGCTAAGGACTTTTAGCTTTTGCAATTTGCAAATTGTACTGTACCAAACATTCATCTTCTCACATCGCATTTCATTCTCAAACCTATTTTTTAGCAATATCATATTATTCGTAAGTATTTTATGCTACCGGCTGTGTAATTGCCTTCTTACCTGCGGTGTGTTCGTAAGAGGTGGATGTCCACTTGAAGAACATTGCTTTCAACTTGATTTGCCATGCAGCCAACAAGTGCTCTCTTTCAATTTTTAACTTTGAAAAGAGCACCTAGCTTCAACTTTTCCCAACAACTTCTCATGTGTTCCGAAGAACGAACATCTGTACCTGAAAGGACATCGCATGGTGTGCATGGTGTGTGCCGCACTTGCTTGAAGCATTTCGTGTGACGTCACGCAATATCAGCCCCCGCCGCAGACGGCCACAACTCCGAAGCGATGCAAGCCGGACACAAAATCAGCCACACGGCGTAGAACAAAGTGGGGGAAGTTTCCTATTTGGGGTAAATAATACGTAGACATGCGTATTTCAAGCCATATTTTTGTTGCAATGCGTCGCTATTCTCCCGCTTATTACCTCTCACATGGGCAGCTTTTTGTACTCGGAAGCATTTGCAGAGGAAAGCACGGTCATCAAGGACGCACCGCAAAGGTAAGAAGATGCTTCTATATCTTTCTTTTTGGGCTTTCGTCGTCGTACAGTTTGTCTCAAGCAGCAATTTTGTGCAATTCCAAAAGTTTTCTTTGAACGAAAAGGTTCGAGCAGGGTTGGAACAGCGTGTGTTATTTTTTGGTCGTGGAGTCCCTTCAGTTGGTCTGTTCCTCGGGCACGGACGTGGAAGCCTGTACGGCACTTATTGGGCACGATTTGAGAGAGAATGCGCTTGACCTGTTTCTCACCCGAACTCACCTGAAGTGACTATTTTCTCAAGTATTTTTTGCGGTCATTACTTTCACGGCGCGAGACCCCTTTGGCCTTCGCCCTTTTTCACTGACATCCTTCCCATGTATTTGCAATGCACACTCATGCTCAATTTATTTCGAACTCAAAATTGATTGCCTTTCTGTTATCTCACGGCAGATGGATATGGATATGCCCGGCATGGATATGGACATGCCCGGGATGGACATGGGGGGAATGGGGGATAGCGGGGGCTTTTGCCAGGGGGAGGGAAGCGTTATGAACAACGGCTTCGTTTTCATGCCGCAGGTGAGACGCGAACGAAGAAGGATGCATTTACAATTCGTGGAGACGATGTAAACGACATAGATAGTGGAAGAGAGGGATGTGAATGGAAAGAAATGCAGGATTCGAGGAGTAGCGGCCGAGAGCACAGAATAATGGATCAATGCGAGGGGAGACAATATGAAACTATGGGATGTCTGGTCAGCCATGAAATTTTCACCTTCCTCCATCTTTCGGGTTGCGTTCACCTCCTCTGTTCCTTCTCAGGACGGGTACTGCATCCTCTATCTATTCCAAGGGGCCGTGGTGAACACGGCGGGCAAATACGCCGGGGCCCTCATCGGCACTTTTTTCTTGGCTTTTTCTGTCGAGGCCTTGCGTCACTTTCGTCTGTGGATGAGGTTGCGCCGCGCCACCGTCGTTCTCGCGCACGGAGAAAAGGAAGGAGAGGTCGTGACCGGGCCTCCCCTCCGGGCTCAAGTGCTGCCTATTTTCTTAGAAGCGCTTCTTTTCGGCGTGCACATGTTCGTGGCCTACCTCATCATGTTGTTGGTCATGCTGTATGAATGGGCCATTTTCATCTCCCTCCTGCTGGGCCTGGCCGCCGGGTATTTTACTTTTGAAATGTGGGAGGCCTATAGGTGAGGAGGGAGGGGGTATGGACTGTTGAATCAATTTCATAATGATTTTTGATCCTGTATCTGATCATTTTGACAGTTTCCTTGTACTTTCGATTCTCATGGCACCATCGCTGCTCTTTTTCTGTAGGGTCGCGAATAAGAAGCAACTTCCAAGTGCCATTGGGGCTATTGGTGGGGGTTGTGGCTGTGTGGACGAAGTGATTCACGTGGCTGCCGAATCGACAATTCACCCTGGACATGGAGGGCAGCGAAATGGAAATGGCACCCAAAATTCTGGGGATAAGGTTTAAATGAACATACAAGGAAAGTGAGGGAACCAAGATTGAAGGTGCAGCAGGGCTATGCGCAAAGTGAGAGCAGTCATTGCAAGTTCCTGTACGACTTGTCAAGTGATAGACAAGAGAATGTTGCCAGGTGATAGACAAGAGAATGTTGGAGGATGGGCGTTAATGGACTTGATTGTGTTTAGTCGTACGTGGTGCGTGCGAGGCCACTTTTTTGAGTAAGAAAGCAACGAGAAGCTGCTCAATTCCTGCCAAGCCAGGAACCGCGGACATTCTCAATCTAAATAAAATGAAATGACCATAGGGCATGATGCGCTCATTTCGTTGGCGTTCTATTTGTTCTTCACTGTTTTGAAATTTTAAATGAAAAATACATCTGATGTAGGGGGTGGGGAGGTTAAAGGGGGCCCTTTGAAAATGACTAGGATGTATGCGGCCTTTTACAACATAGAACCCGTGAGAAACAGCCACATGCAAAGACCTAAGTCATAACGTCCTGTTGACTGATGTTCTAGAGCAATAGATCCTGAATTTGTCGAATCAAAAGCTCGCCTTCTGCATTTAACGGGCGGCCGCAATTTTGCACACTCCCAGCCTGCCCGTACTTCACATCGCGATCTCTTTTTCTTGTCTTCAGAATTATTTATGAAAGCTTTTGTAAGCTCTCATTTTCAAAATGGAATGAGTCCGTACTGTACTGATGCACATCGAATATTGCGCCAATATAACGTCGTGTGGAAATGGTGTTGGGGCTTTCGCAACTTTTTTAGGGACTCCCTTCGGCGTCATGTCGTCTTGTCGTGCTAATATCCTTCTTAATTATTTCACTTTTTGGTGAAATCATATTTTACATCGTCGTCATCAAATTGGAGGCGGGCCGTGTGCCTTGACAAGAAATCTCTCGGCTATCCAGTTACTCGTTTGGCAAGTTGCATGATTTTTCATCTTAAAGGTGGACTATTCAGATTTTCCAATTCACACACTTGCGTATATACCACGATGAAAGTTTTATTGAAAATCATCGAATGTTTCTCGTACATGTATACAGCAGGGGGTAACAAACCTACAACTTAGCAGGACACCTGTTCTCACGCCCCACCAAGACGTACATATCTTTCGACGCAAAAAAGCTGTGTCAACGCACGAAAATTTCATTGAGTTGAATCAAAGAAGTCACTCTGCGCCAAAATCTATTCTCTCCCCACAAATAAAAGTT